GAATTCAGTGCTCCAGTTGCTTTTTCCTGTCTCTTCCTTTCCCTTTTCTTCCCCACCCCCCTGGGTTTGGGAAGCTGTTCTCTTAGCAACCGCAGAAGCTCACACTTAATTACCGCCCCAGTGGCAGATGCACCCCATACAAAGTCTGACCCTCACACTCGCTCCTGCTCTGGAAACACCTCCACCCTGGCATGGACATCATTCCCCATCCTACCCACCTTTGCTTGCTCCCCACATCACGCTTTGTTTGCTATACAGTTAGAACTTTCTCAAGGCAGCAGTTGGGGAGATCTTCCCATGCTTCTAGACTTCTGTTGGGGTGTGAATGCCAGAGGCATGTGGGGAAACAGCTCTGAAGGGCCCACTTTTGCCAACTGCCCCCCAACTGGGGTGCTTTTTTTCTGACTACCTGGTCAGTTATTATTTCCCATTCCCTCCACCCAAAAAGCAAATGTAAGCAGTAGGAGGCGGAGCCCTGCTTTCCCAGGGTCAGTATCAGAATGGGGAGGGCGGGAGAAGTCATGCCACTTGTGTCTGTTTCTTTCAAAGGGAAATAGGTCACTGTCAGGATTCCTGAATCCTGCCATGCCTACCCAGGTGTCAGGGATCTTTTGGTGGCTTGTCTGAAATGTAGATATTTCCCCCTTGACTTTCTTACATCTGCTAGCTGACAAATAGATTTGGCTTCTTCTTTAAAAAATGTAAAAAAAAAAAAAGAAAGAAAAGAAAAAAAGAAAAAGCACAGCACTTTATATTTAGCCACAGGCGCACGGAGCACCCGGCAGAAGCCGGGTTTCCTTGGATAACTGGGGCTCCGGCTCACAAATGCCTCCCGGTGTCTCCTGGACGCCAGCTCGCGCGCAGTCGCCTGCTCCATGTTAACCCTGCGTGGTGCTGCTTCCCCGATGCCCTGCTTGCTCGCCCAGCACAGTGGCATTGCTCACATGAGGATCGCCGCCAGAGGTAGCCGGTTCTGAGAGCAGCCTCAGTCTGCGCACAGTTGCTTCCCAGCTGACAGACAGAATATGGGGTGGGCTTTGTCACCAGCACGCTGGGTCTGGCATGCCCAGCGATGCTTGGGGCTGCAGAGCGCCCAGACGCCCGCCACTGCTCGCCGGGTCCCAGCCGCGCCAGCTCCGAGGGGCCGGGCTGCGCGCCTAGCCTTCCTGCCCGCCGAGAGGGTTATATAATGAGCGGACTGCTGCCAAAGTCACAGGGAAAATGAAGTCTTTGTTAAATGCCTTCACCAAGAAGGAAGGTAAGGAGAAAGCTGTAGGAAGCGTGGGGTGCCTAGCGAGCAGCTGTGGGCTGCTTCTGTGGGGAGAGGGGACTCGGGTGCCTCCTCAAATTGCTGGTTGTGGTTCATCGCTCAAGGAATAATTGCCCCAGCTTTGTGATTTGGTTTGGCTTTAGCCGGGTCTGGAAGATTAACACAGATGAAGGTGCCTTTGTATTTTAGTGTGTTCCTGAGCCTCTGGTGGAACTGCATTCCAGAACATCTCATCCAGAGAGCCTGTGCCGGAGGGCACATTGGAAAACTAGGTCCTAGGGAAAATAGAAGAAGTTTTGGCTTTCATCCTCCAGGGCACCTGGAGAATGTGAGCACCTGCTAAGGAGGGTCAGGGCACATGGCTGGGTGCACCCATGGCATCCTCTCCCAGTGCCAGTTGCCAGTTCTGCCTGGCTGTCCCTGGCTGCGAAGCCATGGGGTGCATGAAGAATCCCTCTTTATCATACCTTGTATGAATTTTATTGTGGGGAAGAAAAAAACTGTATAAATAAATGCATGTAAGACAGCTAAGAAAATATCCACCCACCTAAGGGCTTGCAGATTGCCTGAAAGAAGGAAACCGTTGGGTGGCATATTAATCATTTTCAGACAGGAAAGAAGCTATTTTTAACACTTTATGAAAAAAAAAACATCCTTTGCGTGTTTGGTCCCAGTCAGAGAGTTTTGTCAGACGGCAAGCTCTTTCTCTGATGAAACCAGGTTTCCAAAGAGGTGACTTTAAGAAAATTAGGAAGCTCACTTTCCACCCAAGCTCACTGTGAACTAAACACCAGAGATATTTCAGCAGCTGAGAAACTAATTTGATGAGAGGTTTGGCCATTAAGCAAAGCGATTTTCATTAAAACCTTCACCCTAATGTCACCTGTGTGGGTCCATTTGACTCACTTGCCTGGTCTTTGGGGTGAAATGTGTATAAATGTCCCGGCTGTTCTATTCTATGACCCTGCCTGCATGGCTTCGCCTGCGTGAGGACAGCCTGCCCCCTCCTTCCTTCAGAATGGAAATAGAATAGACTTGTTTCTTTTTCTAATGAGGCTTACCAAAATTCGCCATGTGGGACTTCGATTTTTAGAACCCATGGATGACATGACTCTCAGAGTGTTAAATAATGCTATTGCTATTCTGCGTTTCTATGGACTTTTCTACAGAATTTATCTTCCCATTGGGCAGGACATCGAGTTCCCTCCCCAAAACACTCACTTTGCCATTAAGGGTGTTAATGCCTTACTGGTTACATAGTCAGGGATGCAATCAACTGTACTATTAGGGATGGGTGTCTCTACAGATGCAGCCTCAGGGTACCTGCCTGTCCGGGTCTTGGAGCCGTGTGATACATTCCAGGTGCCTCACCCAAGGGGTACTCCTGGAAGCCCCAAGGTGCAGGGACCATCTTATCCTCTCCATGTCTGCCAGTCTTTTGGCTTTCACACCAAAAGAGTATGCCAGCCCCGATCTCAGTGATTGACAGATGAGGCCTGATGGGATAGCGGGGTCACCTGTCCTTAAGGCCTTTTAAATCCAAGAGGACCACAGACTCCCTGTTGGTAACAATTATAGGCTCCATGGTGAACACTCTGAGACTTCTCAGGGTCCTACTCAGGGTAACGTCATCAGTAAGGTTTCCTTTGTGCCCAGCCAAACACACCTGATAGCCTGACCTGGCTATGATTCTCTTGGAGCTGGGTGGGCTTCTGGGGCTCTATGCCTAGCTCTTCAAGAGCACAGGCTCTTGGCTCCAAAGCAGAGACTACCGGCCTTTGGTGCTCCTGGTCTGTCTCTGGCCAGCCCCTGTGAGTCACATGCTGGAGAAACTGGGAGTGAGATAGCACATAGCCAATGGCTTGGTTGAGCATCTTCTCCCATCAAAAGCTTGCAGAGGAAGCAGGTTGCATGAGACATGCCTCTGTCCACTGGAGGAATGAGGACTCCTTTTATACATCAAATGACCCCCAAGCCCAGCAGTTCCTTCCCCTGCCATATGGCTTCCCTCTTGGCATCTAGCTCTGATTCTTAGGACAGAGAAGTGTCTTGACTCACAGCTGACCTGAAAGAGCACTCTCAGAGCCACCTCTGTCCCTGTGGGTTTTTTCAGTACCACCTTTATCCTTGTGAGTTTTGCTGGGGTCACCTCTTGAGCTATGCCTGGGCTATCTCTGTCCCCATGACAGGGATACCTCTGTCCCTGTGAATTGTGCTTAGGCCACCTCTGTTTCTGTGAGCTTTGCAGGGCCATCTCTGACCCCGTAAAGTCTGCCAGAGCCATTCCGTTCCCATTAAGTGTGCCTGAGCTACTTATTCTAGTACTACTTATATCCTCATAATTCTGATGTCCAGATGAGTAGAAGGCTGTGGACTCTGTGATATGGGGTGCCCACCTCTGACTTCTGACCTTGGGCAGCTGATACCATAGGCTGTCCTAAACTGTGGTGTTCTGCTTCTCTTTTGATGTCAGGGTTCTTACCCAGGTCAGTTCCCCGGAAGCCCCGGTTCTCTGGCTTCACAGGGTCCTGTCTGCAAAACAGAGCTCTAGCCTTGGGCAGCACAGGCTTTAAGGATATAGGGACAGAAATCTTGTAGCAAGGCTTCCCTGGGCATCAAGAGGCTAGGAGATGCACAGTGTATCTGGCCATCAAGGCGAGGACAGCTATTGTCACTGTCATTGTAGCCTGGAGTGCCACTCCTGAGAGACTGTAGAGATTGATTTCTTTTATTGACCAAGCAGCTGAACGCTCTGGGTGACTTCAGCGTGAACGCCATCCCTTGAGGTGTCCAGGTTTGCTTTAGCTGAGTCCCTGGGTGTGTTGGGCTCGGGAGTGTGAGGACCCAGCTCTGTCTAGACCTTTTCATGAGATGCTCAGTGAAGTGGGGCCACCTGCTACTGCTGCACGGTACTAGGCCCCACTTGCTGGGAGAAGAAAGGAAAGATTCTGAGGTGTTGTGGTCTCCTTTACCTAAGTGATGGGGGTGGGGAGAAGTGACTGGCTTCCCTTGCAGGGAAAGCCGTGACCAAGGCTGTGGGCCTGAGTGGTTCATAAAGATGAAACGCCCCTTAGTCCCCATCCTGGATGCTGAATGCCCAAGCTTAAAGTGACACGACTGATTCCCTGAGGTCTGTCTGTGACTTACAGATATCTTCTCTGTATCCTTATGTCATCCTCTGTGTGTCGGGATCCTAATCTCTGGATTATGATGATTGCCGTCGCATGAGATCATCCTAGTGACCCATTTTAATGTAGTCACCCCTGTAAAGGACTTCTTTCCACAAGTGGTCACATCCTAAGGTCCTGGTTTATACCCTAGCGTATGAACTTTGGACACACAGCTCTGCACATGGCAGAGGTTTAGTCCCGTTTCTAGGGGATGATCCTGATCCATGTAATGTCCTAACGCTTAGTGACATGGGGAAGCCTGTCCTTACCTGTGTCATGGCTGTGTCTTCCTGCTGAAGGCATGGGCTGGCCCGATGGAAGGCCTGACCCTGAGTGCCCTCCATCGAGGTCCTGGCTTGAGTTTCCATGTGCCTCAGTGTTTCTCTGCATTCATGTGGGGGGCAAGTCAGGCTTTGGGGAGCCCAGCAGCAGATCTTGCATCAAGCCTTCAGACGCATCACCGATTTGCACGGGGGCTTGGATGCATGCAGACCTGGCCTCCCTGTGTCCCTATTCCCTGGCATTACTCATCTGCCTCTCTCTTTCTCTCCTCAACCCAGTGCCCTTCCGAGAGGCCCCAGCTTATTCCAACCGCAGGCGGCGGCCCCCCAATACATTGGCTGCCCCCAGAGTTCTTCTGCGTTCCAATAGTGACAACAACCTCCATGCTGGTGCACCGGAATGGGCTGTCTGTTCTGCAGCCACCTCCCACCGAAGCCTCTCACCCCAGTTGCTGCAGCAGACACCCAGCAAGCCCGATGGAGCCACGAAGAGCCTTGGAAGCTATGTCCCCGGGCCCCGCAGTCGCTCCCCCTCACTCAACAGGCTCGGTGGCACTGGCGAGGATGGCAAGAGGCCACAGCCACATTGGCATGTGGGGTAAGGAGAAGCTGGGCAATGGGCATGGGCTCTTGTGGGAGACGGTTAGCCATACATGTTTCTCAACTCAGGCTACCCCAGAAAACACCAAGGCTGTATTCTGTTCTCTGAGCCTGGGGGCTCTCTGCTTAGCCTGGTACCCTTAATGGCTATTTTTCAGCATGGGTGAGGACGCTGAGCTGTGCAGGGGCCTTATATACTTTCCAATGCCTTGACTCCTTGGTTCTTGTAATGAAATGGCTTAGGGAACCAGGATAGAGAGTACAGTCTGTGGTGTCATACAGCCTGAAGTACAGTCTGTTCAGCATAGCAGGGGCTCAGAGTCCCTCCACCCACCTCTGAAGCAAACTAGAATGGGGCAGGCTAAGGGACCAGTCAGGGTGTCACAGCCTGGACCTTCTGTAGGAAAGGGGCTTCCAACCTGCACAGCCAGGAGGGGACCTACATCCCTATGTCCAGCTCTCAGACACCCCTCTGCCTTCCCGAGTTTCTTAGCCAAAAGAAGAGACTCTCGGGATTCATCTCATATGGAAGCCTTGAGGCCATATTTGGTGGCCATCAGAGAGATTCAAGGCAGCACAAATGGATCCTCTGGCTTCCTGTGATCCCTGTGTCAGGTAGTGGAGGATGGCGGGATGCACCTGCCATGGTCCTGTCTTCACTGGAGGGTTCTGTTCGCCTTTCCCTGGTATCTTTTGTCTCCCTTTCCTCAGTCTCTTCCTTTTGATTTTCTTCGCCCTATCCTACCTAGTACAGTATGACCCAGAAAGAGTGGGAAGCGGTGTGCTTGTCCAGTCTCTGCTCTGGGCCTACATAGCACAAGTCTCTGTGCTCACCTCTCCAGAGACGGCACCCTCTAGTGGCACCCAGAGGCACAGCTGAGTCACAATCCTGAGCCCATCCTGGAGATTTGTGTTTACCCTATGGAAAACCTGGGAGGTGGGTGAGGCAGTCCAGTACTTCCAGGTCTCTCTCAGCTGCCCAGATGTGGAAGAGTGCTTAACATCACAGGCTGATCTAGCTGTGCTCATCACGGGGACATTCCACTACTGTCTTTCCTGTCCTGAGTGACTTTTGCTTTGGCAGGAAGAAAGGTCTGTGCTGGTGAGACCACTGGGGAGACAGTGGTATCCTTGGTCCATCACCAGTTGCGTTCATCTGGGTCAGGTTGTCTTTCCCAAGTCCCACCCATCTCTGGGGTTTCAGGTCGTGAGGTGAGGATAGTGACATTGACATCACTATCTATTCCCCCCAACAAACACCAGTTCTTCGAGTGGTATCAGGAAGGACACCCTCTTGAGACAAGGATCTCACATTGCAGAGCAAGGTGCTCAGAGACCATAAATCATTCTAGGTGAGCCATGGACTTCAGAGCACACAGGACAGTCTAGTATTTCTCCTGTAGACCCTAGGAGATTCTGGGGTAACCACTTTGTCCATCCCAGCCTATCAGACACAGGTGTAAAGGTGTCAGATTGCCCTGTGGCTCTGGCCTGTTTCTACCCATGTGTTTTCCCTCTGGATCCATAGGAACATGGGGATCTGCACACTAAATCCTGCCCTCGGTGGAGCAGAGACATGGTGACCTTGGTGATGAGGGGAAAGGGCTCCCTCCCCTGCCTTGCATCCTGATCCCTGGGCTGCTCCAACAGAAATGGGAGGAGAGAGAGAGGGACGAAAAGGGAATGAGGGAGGGAGGATGGAAGAGAGAGAGAGAGAGAGAGAGAGAGAGAGAGAGAGAGAGAGAGAGAGAGAGAGATTGTTTTAAGTCCTGCTCTCCCTGGCCACTTTCTTATCCCCCAGGGCTAATGTGTGGTAGCATGTCACTCAGATACCATCAATACAATGTCAGTAAGACTACCAGGTTTATGGTTAGGGTAGGTGGGGCCCAATGAAGGGTGATCTCCATAGGGCAGGCACATCCTGGCTGCTGTGGACTCTGGGTCCAGACACCCCTTCTTGTGTATTCTGCAGAGTGCAGTAATCTATGGCTCCTCTGTCAGGCCACACCTACCTGAATGTAGGAGTTAAAGCCCTCTGCACTGGGCACTCCCTGTGTGCAGGTGTGTGTGTGTGTGTGTGTGTGTGCGCGCGCGCTGGTGTATGTGTGTGTTCCCCACCTTGCACGGGAGGGAGACAGGTTGATAGCAACACTGGCTTCACATAAAATGGGATTCAGACCTGGGGAGAGCTAGGGCTAATCTCTGGAGGGTTGGAGTCATCTGATAGAAACTGCGTGAGTATCAAGAAGGGATGAGATCCCATAAGTTCAGCAGAGAATGGGAAAACATGGGAAAGATCCCTTGTTCAGAACAGCCATTATCATAGAGTGAAGGGCTCTGGATTTGGGGTGAACCTGGCCTTATACACAGGCAGAACCCTCTCCCACCCAACTAGAGCCACCTAGACAAAGGAGGTACTCCTCCATGGTCAACACAGTACTGGTACCCCACTTCACATCTGTAAGTTGGGTGAGCCCTCATTCTATTCACCCTCAAAGATACAGTGAGTCTGCCTACTGACGGCTGGTTGTCCCGCCTGTATCCTAGCCCCTCCTGAAGCACTGTCTTTCGGCCTGTTGAATGATGGCAAGTCCTGGGGATGGGCAGCTGGAGGCAGGGCAAACTAAGGTCCTGGGATAAACCTCCTATGCTTCCTGGTTTGGTGTGTTTCTTCCTCTGAGTCCTAAATGGCAGGATGGCACGTGTCCAGTCCGTAGGCATAGCAATGATGGCTAACGTGGCCCATCCAAAGCCAGTGCTCAAGCCCCTGTGTGCTGAATATGCCATCTGCTGTGCCCAAGCCCCAGCTAGCAGCGCTTACAAGCTCCATTATTCCAACCCATTCCCTGAGAGACACTGGTTTCAGCCTCTGCTCGGTGACTCTTCCTGGCCATATCTGGATTTCTTTGGTTCTGCGTATCAACCCCACCCACATCTTCCCAAGAGCAACCACAGTGCCTGCCTCCTTATTGAATGTCCCTCCTCCATCATGTCCCACTGGCCCCACCCTACTGCCAGTCATGATACCCTAGTCTCTGACTTGTCACGTGTTTGTTCAGACACCTTCCAAGGTCTCAGTTGCACTGCCTGACTCTCACCCTAGCTTAGACTGGGTGTGAACACTCAAACCTTGATTTTGGTTGTCACCCTCGACTTAGGAGAAACATGCCTGGTTGGAGTGCAGTTTGGTTCACTCTGTGTGGCCTTTCCTGTCTTCTGTGCTCAGATGTGTGTGCTGCACTGTGATGGGCCACCTGGGAAGTTATAGATGAATGAGTAACTGATGGAGGAGTGAATGAATGGAGCGAGCTCAGTGTGTGGGTAGTTCCTGTTCACACAGGGTAGCTGGGAAATGGCCCAATTTACCCTTCCCAGTTACCCCCAGAACAGAACGTTGGTTTTCTGGTACTGAATCTCCAACAATCTAACCCTCAGACTAAAACAAGTCGGCTGGTACTCCATCTGGCCGCTCTTGGCCAGAACAGGAAGGAAACACAGATGCCAGGGCTGGGGAACTGCTGAACCATTCACACTGTGTGTGTCCTAGCTTGGCCTCTCAGGCCTGCGCATCGGAGACTACCACTTACCTGGGGCTGTAGAGGGGCCGTGACTCTGCTGTTGCTCAAGGCAGCTCGAAGGAAAGCATGGCCCCTGGGCAGGAGGCACCGTTCATAAGACACCTTCCCTTGATGTGCCGTCTTTCCTGTCTTTTACTACACTGCAGGATAGAGCATCAGGATGCGAGGGTCACACTGACCTCCCTCCATGCGAGGTCATTATTTGTGGAACCTCTCTCCCACCTGAGAAATGGGTTCAATGTTTCTACTTGCTATCTTGCAGGAGAGGTCATGACATTCAAATTAATAGTGATTATTAAGATTCTTCAACACCCACTTGGGACCACCCATCACCAGTGATCCTTTTACTGTGTGTGCTCACCCTGGTCCATGACCAATGATTCCCCTACCCCTGTTCTTGGAGACTTCTCAGGCCTCCAGAATGAGGGCTCAGAGCTAGCTGTCTGTAGAGTGAACTAGAAAACAGAGAGCCAGGACTGTGTTTACGTTGACTTCTGTGTCTGGAATGACATTCAGGCACTGGCTTGCATTAGCTAGAGTACCCATCACTCCGTTAATCTGCTTTGCAGTTTGCAGTTGCCATAGCACTATGCTGTGGAGTGGATTCTTATTGATTCGCTTTCATCATCACTCATGATGGGGAAACTGAGACTTTAAGAGATTCACCGACTTGTCCAATATCTGATAAGGGGTCAACTGGGCTTCCGGCAATGTTTCTTCAAATTTGGGTGTGAGTGAAAAGATGGTATTGGGCTATGCAGTAAGGTGGGCAGATGAGTGGATGAACAGGTGGTTGATAATGGCTAAGTAGATGGATGGTGGATGGCCATGTTAGTAAGTGGATGGATGGATGGATGGATGGATGGATGGATGGATGATGGATGGATATGTGGAAAGATAGCTAGATTGATGGATGGATGGATCCATAAAGCCCCAAGATGTGGCTGACAAGGCAAGGAGAGGATATGCAAAGTCGTGCCCTGTCCTCTATCTCCACCTTACCCTTGGCATCTTTTTGGTCACATAGCCCACTCAGGTACCTCTGCTTCCAGAATTCTGTAATGACTGCATCCATGGTTATGATTTAGAAAACCCTGAGCGTGTCAGGGGTACATTGTGGGGGAGGACCCCAGTTATATGCAGCCTTCTACCTTCTCTAATGTTTACAGAGCTCAGGCATGTTTCCAGGCCCTGCACATTCAGTTCCCATCCATCCTCACCAGCATTGTAAGTGAGGGCCTAAATTTAATGTGCCACAGCCCTGATTTCAAGTCTGTAGACAGGGTCCCTCGAAGACATCAACCAGGGTCCAGTGGCTGGATCCCATGGCGATTCCAGTTGGAAAAGTAAGAACCCATGAATTATTGACCAGATAAAGTAAGAAGTATAATTAAATATAACAGATCACACAGTTGCAGTTCTGTAAGAGTACCCCAAACCACAAGGCCTGTATACACATGGGCAATATAGCATAAAAGGCAGCTGGGAAGACAGTCTTAATAAGGGATTGCTTAGGTAGGGCTAGGTAGGCATGCCTGTGAGGAATGTCTTCTCACTGTCTTATTTGATGTGGGGAAACACAGGTGGCACTATTCCCTAGGCTTGGGGTCCCAGGCTGGATGAGAGAAGGGAACTGGCTGTGTTCATTTCTCTAAGCTCTTGACTAGATGGGTTGTGCTAGCTGTTTGAAGCTCCTGTCTTGACTTCCCTGCAGTACTAGACTGTGACCCAGAATCGCAAGCCACATCAACCCTCTTCCCCCATGTTGCTTTCTTGTCAGAGTGTTTTATCTCACAACAAAACTGAAACGAGGACAGAAATTCACCTTCGCTAATCAAAGAGCACCCTGTCAGCTTCCAGAAACTCCCTGCAAGCCTGTTTTCCACTGGTCCTTGTGTTAAGTGGTTCCTTCCTTTCCTTGCACAGAGCTCAAAGCCACTCCTGTGTGTTTAGAGGCCACAGTGTCTTTAGGTTCAAAGACCAGAGCTGGAGATTTGGAATCCTATTCTCGTTTTGGAACCTTCTCCAATGCTTTAAATGCCCACTCTTTTCCCTTGGTCAGTACCCTCTTGGAAGGTTCCAGCATTGTGAAGGTGCTGCCTTCCTAGCATTAAAGCTCTGGGATCTTGCCCTGACATCCTGGCATGTTTCTTTATGTGGTCATGTTTGTGTCCAAAAAAGTGACAGGAGGCCACCTTGAGGTAATCCCTGCTTAGGACGTGGGTGAGCACTTGTCCCCAGCATGTGACAGTCAGTCCATCACCTGTTGGAATTCACTATGCCTCAAGATGAGGACTCCACAGGTTGCTCATGTGTGGACCCTCACCCTCTGCGTCCCATTGTTGGTAAAGAGCAAGGATTCTTGCTATTGGGGGGAAATGGGCCTGGAACATGAATTCAGTACAAACTGCTGATGTAAGAAAGTGGCCAGAAGGATGCCCATGGTCATAAACACGTTTGGGGGAAGATTTTATGTATGTCCTAACCAATGTGACCAATGCTCACAGTAAATTGGAAAAACACGGCGAGGGCTTTCCCGATGGCAGCACCTCACTTGCTTTCATTACTGTAGTAAGACCCTCACAAGATTTCCTGTCTTCTCTAGTGTCTGTGCCCAGCTCTGTGGTCACAACATCCTGAAGTCATTCTCACCATGCATCTCCAGAACCTTCCATCTTCTCTGTGAACCACTGACACTCCCTCTTACTGTCTATCTCTGTGGATCTCACAGTGGGGACCACATATGGATGGACTCACACAGGTCTTGTATCAAGCATCATGTCCCCCAGGGTTCATCCCTGTTGTGGCAAGTGTCAGAACATCCTTTTACGGACTGAATAATGTTCCATTGCATGGGTGGTTGTGAGCTGTTCATCCAGCATCCATCTGTGGCTGCCTGGGCTGTGGATGATGCTGCAAGGGACATGAGGTGCGAATGTCCCTTCGAGACCCTGCTTTACGTTCTTGGGGATGTGCCCAGCAGTACAACCGCTGGGTCCTCTTGAGTCTTTTCATCACAGACGCTGTCCCTGGCCCACATGTATCATTGCTATCTGGCCGCACAGGTACCAGCAGGGTCACTCTTAGCCCAGGGTTTATAGATTGCATTGGTTGTGGCCGACAAAGTGTGACTTTCTTCTCTTCTATTCCTTGCTGCCTGATTCAGGTCGCCCTTCACTCCTGGTGCCAACAAGGACTCCCTCTCAACCTTTGAGTACCCAGGGCCCAGGAGGAAGCTGTACAGTGCGGTGCCCGGGAGACTCTTCGTCGCCATCAAGCCATACCAACCCCAAGTCGACGGCGAGATCCCCCTTCATCGAGGTGACAGAGTCAAAGGTCAGTCTTTGTCTTCTGCTTCTGGGGAAGGCAGGGCCTCTCTGCCTCCGTGAAACAAGGTGGTGAGTCTTCTGAAGTCAGGGCAGAGTCTAAGGCCTCAGTTCAGCAGGGTCTGCTATGGGAAGTGTGGACTCTTGGGACAGCAGAGAGACTCTCACTGGTCCCTGTCATTCAGTATCCCTAGTACTGGGTCTTTAGGGATGGAAGATTCCCACACACTCCTGGGTCCATTGTAGGAAGTACAGGGAAGAGCCAAACTGGGGCCCAGTGAGTCAATTTTCTTTCCAGCCTGAAACCCCCATGAGAAAGTGGGATTGGGGCAGCCCGTGGCGTAGGCGTAGGTTTGATGAGCAGAGGAAATCAACCAGGTAAAAGGAATTCTCCAGACAGAACTCTGAGGACTTTTGTGAACAAGCTGAGGAGCCCAACATTCTCCCAGGAGTCCTAGGGATCCGATGATCACTCCTGTACAGGCGAGGGGAGTCTATGAAGCACGACAGGAAAGTGTATATAATGGTAAAGTGTGGAGAGAGGAGGTGGTGGTGACTGAAGCCTGTGGCTGAAGGTCACAGAAGGACCTGGAGAAGAGGGAGGTGGGGACTCCAGGGGCCACATAGCGGAAGATAAAACACACAGGTGGAGCAAGACGGACCTTTTATTGGCCAACAGGCCCAGGCCCCAATACTGAACACAAGGTGAAGTAGAAGTGGCAGGTGGCTTCTGACCCTGCCCTCCCCACCTGGTCATTGTTCAGCCCGCAGCAAATGATACATAATCTCTATATGGTCTGTGCACTCACCTGGGGCTACTGTGAGGTTCTAGGGAGTTCTGGAGAGTGTGTACCCCATCCTTTCCCAGCCCGGGGAACTCAGCTTCCATGCCTCTGTGCCTCTGTGCCTCTAACAGGTCCCTAGTGCCCTGTTCACTTCTCCTTCAAGTTCACTTACTCTTTCCTCCGAAGCCCCTTCCCCCATCTCATTCCTCCTGCGAGGTTCATAATTTCAAAAATGATGTTTTCTGCACTTTTTGTGTGTGAGCTTTAAATTACTTCTTTCTCATTGCGGCGCCTTCTTAGGACTCTGCTGGGGTTTCTATTCATTGGCTACATGTGTTGTTTTACAACAGCAGCACCGTGGCTTGGCGTGCACACGGCGTTAAAGATCCCAGTGTGATCATTCCAGCAGCAAGCACATGCAGGATGTCTACACTCCCCCAGCCCCTTTCCTGTTCACTTTCGCCTTTCTCTCAAGGACATGCTTTGTTCTCCTCATTCACCTACCCAGTAACTCTCATTTGTGTGCTGGACCTCAGCCCTCTCCCTGGCATGGACTGTCCTCACTGTCTTCAGGGTCTCGTTCCAGTTCCAACTTTCTGGTCCTTCCCAGTTCTTACACTGTGGGCTTTTCTCTACACTGCTGGCCTCATTGTGGGACACTGCCCTGCCCAGTATGGAGCTGGGGAAATAGGGACTCTGGTAAAGCTCCCTTCCTGCCTTGAAGCGAGGGAGCATTCCTCTAGAGTCCGAGTGCATCCGCAAGGGCTAGGCCCTCCTGATGGTGGCTGTTTGCGTTATTAGGCTTTGGAATTGTTCTCTACTCTGGGGTCTAATAGAATCCTTGTTCACTGTGTCCATAAGGTCCCTGGACTGTGCCAATGTCGTTTAATGCAAGAATTAAAATCTTCATGTGGGCTACGGTTCTAAATTTCTGCAATACCACCCACCATGGGCCAGGCCTTTATCCTGTACAAGTCGACGATCTTACAACAGGCGCGCGGTGTGTCAGACTCACCAGCAATACACGGGATGCAGACTTTGCAGGTGCAGTGTGCTGGCTGCTGGGCAGGTGGCTCCTTGACAACTTCATCTGTAATGTTCACTCAGGTCCACCACAAATGGCACTTAGAGCATCCTTGCTGGCGCTGAGGCTCCAGCTGTAAACTGTTTGCTGAGCAAGCAGGAGGACTTGAGTTCAGGTTCCCCAGTCCCCATGTAAAAAGTCAGGTACAGCAACATGCACCTGAAGTCCCAGCTCTTGAGGAACAGAGACAGGTAGATCCTGGCACCCCTGGCCAATCAGAATTGGGGAGCCCCAGGTTTCATGAGAGAACCTTGTCTCAAAAAGTACTGCAGGAAAGTGAGTAAAGAAGACACCTCATGTTAACCACACAACCAGACATACACTTCATGCACAAGTGCACATCTGTATGAACACACACATACACACACACATTCACACGCATGTGCACATGCCCTTACAGTGTGACCCTCCCTGACTAGAGTCTATTTCTAACCCTATCGATATAGCAGGTGCATAGGAAGCCGTAGCTCTGGATAGATGCTGTTCACATCAGTACTGCGGCCTCTCAAGACACACCTCACATCCCCTGACTTTGCAGATTGCAGAAGAGCATTGTAGAGATGCCGTGGGGGAGGCTTCCATCTGAGCTGGTAGTGTTACTAGCTCCACGGCTTGTGTGACCCTTAGATCACTTATGTGGAGCTGGCAGAGTTAGGCCAGAGGCACAGAGGCCCATGAAGCCCAGGTTTTGAAGACCTCCCAGCACCTCTGTCCGGCAAGCCTGTCTTCCCCAGCCTGTGCCTCTCATGGTCATTCTCTCAGGTACAAAGCAGCTGGAGCCATTGCCAGACATGGCAATGTCTGGAGTAAAAAGGTCCTTGGCACTTCCCCCAATATGGTCATCATTGCCTGGGTAGCACTGGGAGCCAGCTGGATACAGCCCCTGCTGGTCCTGGACAGGCAGCCTCAAGGCAGCAGAACCGGCTGTCCAGGAGGTCAGGGTGACTGAACATCCAGGCTAAATCCAAGCTGAAGGGGGCATATGTGTGGATTGGGCCTGGATGTGTCCCAGTCACCCTTCTGGTTCTCACTTCTTCATGCTCCTAGCTGGTTTTCACACCCAGGCAAGGCTAGGAGGGGAACCCCCACCCCTGCACACCTATAGAGAGGAGCCTCCTGTGGTGGCTGTTGTCTGGATAGTGAGACTGGACCTGTAGAAAGTGCTCCCACCAGTGGCTTAAAGGACTGTGCTGAGGTAGGTGTAGGGTTAGAATGGTCCTTCCTTCTAGAAAGTTCTGGGCGCTAAGTGCCCCCTTCCTCAGGAGGGGTGACTGGCATACAGTGTCGTCATCCTGCCCTTTCTCTGGTCAGAAGTGCTGGCTCTTCCCTGACCTCTTCCAGGGCCTTTAGAAGCAGCTGTTCCTTCCCTCCCAGTCTGCTTGCCTTCTGTCCCCAGGTCTGGCCTAGATGAGCCTCTTCTGCCCAAGTTCATTACTTTGAGCCCAGTGCAATTTCTTTGTCTGCTGTGTGGAGGAGACTCCCTCATCTATACACATCGCCTTAAACAAGGAGAACACACTTTTCTATTCTGAAATAAGTCATTGATTCACAAGGAAGCCAAGCCTGACTCTCTCTTTATTAGGCAAGGTGTGCCTGATCCCACACAGACACACCTATTTCCATAAGACATGCCTTCAAAGACACACCCCTTCCATAAGACACGCCCTCACAGGCACACCCCCTTCCATAAGTCACGCCCTCACAGGCATACCCCCTTCCATAATACACACCCTCACAGGCACACCCCCTTCTATAAGACATGGCCTCATGGGCACACCCACTTCCATAAGACACGCCCTCACATACACACCCACTTCCATAAGACGCGCCCTCCAGGCACACCACTCTTACATGAACATGTCTATTCCCTGACTTACCTGACTCTCCTGGCATCCTGTGGTTTCCTTGTCCCCCTATGTCACTAAAATGTCCCAGAGAGCAAAGCTAGTAAATCCTAAAGTGCCAGGGGTGCCTGTCAAACTCTGTATGCACCGGCCTGTACTCACTTGGCCTTTTGCTTTTTCTGTGGGCCTCACCTGTGTGCCATACCCAGATTGTGCTTGAGGGGAGTCACCTGCACGGCTAAATTCGGGGTTCCTCCAGAGCAAGCAGTGGGACCATGATCTAAACAGTATTCCTCTCTAACAAGTGAGGAAACTGAGGCACGTAGTGATTAAACAAGCCATCCCACGTATGACACAGGTAAGGTGTGGCATGGAGAAGGGGATGCCAGTCCAACCTCAGCATCTCACTTCTTGCTGGGTGCTTTGAAGCATCAGGGTTGGCACACTGAAGGCTCTGAGGTATGCTCATGAGGGTGTCTTCGTAGGCCTCACTGCACAACCCAGCTCCTCCACCCAGGGCCACACCCCAAGATGATGTCCTTAGGTCCAGAGCTGGGAGGCTAAGCTGACTGTCCTTTAGCTGAGCTGTGTGGAGGGCAGAGGCTACATCCCTGAGTCCACACTTCGAGGAAATTGCTTCAAGCAAACATGATGGTATCAGTCAGCATGGAAATAGCTTGTCTCTTTTATTTGGGTCATTTCCTCAGATTACTGGACAAGAATTTACAGTCAGAGTTTGCTGTTCTGTTTCTTTCAAATCTGCAGCCTGGGCAGATCTTTATCTGCCATTTAAGGTCAGAATAATGAGGAAGAAATGCCTGTGCTGGGAACTCTGTTTCTCCACGATAGGGCCTAGAGTCTCAAATAATTTCAAGGCAGATTAAGATGTATAGACAGGATAGCAAGCTCCTCCACATAACCATATTCAGATGACACATATCTGTTCTGAACAGGTCATTCCAGCTTTGCCTCCATAACTTTATTCTAACGGAGCTAGAGGGTACTATGAGGTCCTTGGAACCCTGCCCCAGCACCTGGTACACGGAGGTACACACACACACTTAAAGGAGGAAATAAAATAGGGTTTCACTCTCCCCCATCACCCAGCAGATGGGAGAGATTCATGTCCTGGGCTGCCCATCCCTTGGCACTGTGTTCTCTGAAGGCTACTCACCTGCCAAGCTGCTGGCAGTGCAAGCCCCTCGCTCGCTCTACCTGTTGTCAGGTGTCTCATTGCTTAGTCCCTTCTGTCCCCATTACTGATACCTTTCTCCTTTCTGTTACCTCTAGTTCTGAGCATCGGCGAGGGCGGCTTCTGGGAAGGCAGCGCCCGTGGCCATATCGGGTGGTTCCCGGCTGAGTGTGTGGAGGAGGTGCAGTGCAAACCCCGGGACAGCCAGGCAGGTAAGGCGGCCTCACAGGGCCAGCCCAATCATGGGGGCTGCTTGGCCGGAGTCTGTGGCAAGGGCGTGGCTGTGGCTACACTGTGGAAGGCCAGGTTCCAAACCTAAGGCTTCTCTGTTTCCTTGCAAATGGCTTGGCTGGTTCCGTTCTAGTGGGCGTCATCTAAACAGAACCACTGGACAAGCTGGTGTGCAGGGTCTGCTAAAGGGCAGTCATTTGCATATCTGGTGCAAACCTGGAACATGAACTTGGAGTGTATGTCCTTGTCACCCTCAGGAGTCTCTGGGGTTGAGTGAATGTCTTTTTTTTCTGCCTGTAGATTAGGTATTAAAACACAGGCCACTCCCTACTAATGAGCGGCGCTCTCCAGACCCTCCCCAGGGGATATCATACAATGTTCATAGCCAAAGCTATCCTGGCATCATGCGTTAGAGCCGTTCTTCAAACCTGCCTGCCTGAAAAACCTTGCTCTGATGGAAAAGGATTGCTCCGATCACAGTGCCAGTGGGCACTTATATGAAAAGGTCTGGGAGAAGCAGAGACACCTGAATCTTGGATAAAATAGACTCCGTGGTGACTTGTGATCATTTATAAGATGTTCCTCCAAAGTAGCCACATGGCTTCTGCAGATATTGTGTTGTCTATGTGGCCCCTGAACTTGGCTCAAATGTGACCTTCACGAAGTATTTAGAGGTTCCCTGTCTGATGCTCCACATGGAATCCCTGGGTCCTGGTCAGGCTGCCTGGGCCAGGGAGGGTCTAGGAACACATGCTGTGTGAAGCACCCCCTGCCTTTGGGCTCCTTCAAGCCTTCCTGGCTTTGGACAGTCTGTTGGTTACTCAGAAACCTTTTCTCTGAGAACTTGGCCTTGAGACAGTAGGGTCCATGTGTCCTAAGCCTCTCTCTGTGGGGCTGCTCAAGTGTAACTGCTAGGTTGTATTCTGTTTTATCTGACACTGGACCTGTACCAGGCCTTTTTGTTTGCTTGCTTATGTTTGGTTGAGATAGTCGCAGGTAGCCCAGGCTGTCCTCTAATTCCCCATTTGGCTAGGACGATCTTGAACTTCAGATCCTCCTGTCTCCTCTTCTCATGTGTTGGGGCAATAGGTATACACTACCAGGGCTATATGGTGTTGGGAATGGAGAGTTGGACTCAAGGCCTCATGCATGCTAAGCAAGCTCTCTATCTACTGAGCTACATCCCCAGCCCATCCAGCCAGACCGTGAAACACAAGACTCGAAGTGATGTAGTATGGGGTGGCAGATAGGCAGTCAGTTAGCAGGTGGCAGGAGCACATTTTGCTGGATGGGACCATGAGAATACTACTCACCAAAGAGCAACTGATCTGTCCTAGTGCCTAACCTCCATTCAACCTGCTCTGGCCCCACCTTCCTCCTGCAAAGCAGGCTGTCCTGCCCCATCTATGGCCTGTCTTCACTGCCTATCTCATTGGACCCCTGCTGTTTGGAGTGAGGCCATCCCTTCCTCCCCTCCCATGCTTACCCTCAGAGACAATTGATCACCCCAACCTCTGCTTTTCATTGGAACTGCTGGCTGAGCTACGCCTGAACAGGGCAGTCCTAGGGGGTTACACGAGGGGTCACTGGGCAATCCTACTTTCTTCATCTTTTGGAGAATAGTGGCTTAGAATAGGCTGGAAGGTGAAGAACAGCCTTCCCTACCTACCTGCCTGCCAACCTTGGGAGAGACTACAGCCTCTTTGGGCCCCACTGGCAGTGTCCCCAGACAGAATAGATTGATACTCGTCCCATGGTAGGTACTTTCGGGATGATGAGGGGATTCCTTGTTGGGTTCCATGCTTCTGCTCAGATCCACGCAGTGGTGTCCTTGGTCAAAAAGAGTTGTGTGCCTGGGTTGGTGCTGGCTCCAATGTCCCCCTGAGGACCATCCTCACATTCTGGTCTGTCTGGAAGCACAAAGTGGATCTTCGCATTGCCCAAGCTATGTCATGGAGCAGTGATGTCTTGTGAGTCTTTGTCACCTGTTCTGAGTGCCACCACCTCCAGGTCTCACAAAGTATGGGAAGAGTTAAATTGCATAGCTTCCTGCCTGTTAAGATCCGTCAGTGGCACAAATCCATTCCTTTGCTGTGTGGAAGTCAGGAGACTCAGGGGTCTCCCCTGGCTTCAATCAAGACATCAGTGTGGTTGACTCCTGCATTTCCACAATGGCTTTTGTGGTTAACCCCCTTCTGCATGATTGTTACATGCATGGCTTCTTTTGAGAGGTCTCTATCTGTTCGGTTTTTGCTATTTCTAACTGGAGTTCTTACCTCACGTGCTGGGCGTGTGGTGATTTTCTTGTACAGCCCTTGCTTGTCAGGGCTCTGTCAGGGCTGCTGGAAATGTGTCTCCCAGTCTGTGACTTGCCTTTTTGTTTTCTAATTGCGTCTTTTAATGAGAAGGTTTTTAAATTTTAAATGAAGTCCAATTTGTCCCTTTTTACCCTTTTCATAGTTAGTACTTTCTGTGACTTTTTTTTTCTGATACTGGAAATTTGCAGACCTTGAATATGCATAGAATCCAAAAGATGGTTCAAATATTGTTTCGGTGTTTCCAGCCAGCTCGCTCTTTCCACACAAGGTCAGCCTTGTCTGAGCTGTGGGAGCCCTTTGTCTTTGTGCATGGCAAAGCGAGAGTGCTCTTGAACATTCTGTGGAACAGGCAAATAGCTCAAGGACGAAACCCACCAAGAAGGGGCATGCGCAGGGCACTTTATCCCTTTTGGTAGGACTGTGCATTCCTGTCACCTAAAGACGGTTGTCAGAGGCTGAGGCAGAGTAAAATGAAATGGTAGCTCTGTTGTATCTTAAAATTTTATTATTTTACGTGTGTGGATGTATGTTTATTCGGCTGACACTTCAGCATTGCTGTTCATCATCAAGGAAGTCAGAACAGGAACTCAAGCAGAACAGGAATCTGGAGGCAGGAGCTGATGCAGAGCCTGCTTTCCTATAAAACCTAGGACCACCAGCCCACAATGGGCTGGGCCTTCCCACATCAATCATGAATTAAGAAACTTCTATTCAGGCTTACCTCCAGCCCAGTCTTATGGAGACCCTTTCTCAATTGGGGTTCCCTTCTCTCAGCTGACTCCAACCAGCGTCAAGTTGGCACAAAATTACCCAGCACACTTCCCTTGCAGAGGTTACTGAGTGGCTCTGGATGGATTTCCTCGTGTGGCTCGTGAAGGTTTATGATGGCCAAGGGCCCGTGGGGATTATGACCATCATCTTCACACTTCCTGTGTGTGAGAGAGAGAGCAGCGTGGCCCAGTTTACACACGCTCACTTATGCTCACACATCAGCCCGTGGAGTTGGCAGCAGAGTAGCCCGTGACTGCAGGGCTATGTGTGAGGCAGACAGCACGCTGGAACTTCCAGGTTAAACATGCGCATGTCCCTCCCCCAGCTTCCTGAAGGTCAGACCCCCTCAGGTCAGGGAAAGCAACTTCTTTGTCCTACATGATACACGCCAAGGACAATGTGATTGCCATTGGCTCCCTATATCTGTGGAAGGATAGTGTTGTGACAGACCAGAAAACATGTCAGCTATTGTCTAGATTCTCAAGCCTCTCACATGTATCAGGCAGAACCATGCCAGCTGCTGTAACAAAGTGGCCGACTGCCTCAGTGTATGAGGCAGCACCCCCACCCCAGGGTCCGTTCTATCTTCTAAGATGTCAGTTTTCTTGTTGGCTAGAAATGATAGAGTGGGTGACGGCTGGACCCTTCCTTCTTTGATTGCTGAAGCTGAACTGAAAGTGGGGGTTCCCTAGAGGTGGGTGTTGATTAAGAACCTAAGATAAAGTCTACCAATCTTTAGAAGCACATACATGTCATCCCATCACTCAGAGGTGAGGCAGGACTGTCACAAGTTCAGTGCCAGCTAGGGTTATACTGTGAGTTCAAGGCCAGCCTGGAATATATACTGAAACCTCGTCTCAAAAAGAAAGAGGCTGGGCAATAGTGGCGCAAGCCTTTAATCCCAGCACTCGGGAGGCAGAGGCAGGCGGATCTCTGTGAGTTCGAGACCAGCCTGGTCTACAGAGCTAGTTCCAGGACAGGCTCCAAAGCTACAGAGAAACCCTGTCTTGAAAAACCAAAAAAAAAAAAAGAAAAAAAGAAAGAAAGAAAGAAAGAAAGAAAGAAAGAAAGAAAGAAAGAAAGAAAGAAAGAAAGAACTCCAAAACTGGTACTTGGTTTCTGGAAATGAATCAGTGTGGGAAAGCTGGCATGCATGTGTGCCATTTCCCATGATGCATCTTGCATGTAAATAGAAAACATTGCTGGCCCTGTTTCTCCCCAGCAGAGGTTAGTGGTTGAGGTAAAAAATTTCTGACCATTGGTGAACACTGGTGATTTAAGACTAGAGACTATGACATGATGAGGCCCGCTCTACCCCATCCCTGTTCCCAGCCCCAGAGACATAGAGGATCTGTTCATCTGAGAGCTATTAGAAGGGAATGTGGTCAGATGACTAGATGGCTGGATCTCAGGTGAAAGGTACCACATCTTAACCATGCCTCAGTCAGGAGTACACCAGTGGGAGCCCTGGGGTGCTGTGAGCCATGTATCCTGTCAGGACATGTCGGACTTCAGAACCTGCAGGAAGATACCAGAATCACATGGATTAAAGTGTCTCAGGTGGAATTTGAACCTAGCTGTCTGAGTCCTGAGTTGCCGTTGCATGGTCCCCTGCAGTGAGTGTCGTTTCCGGTATCTTAGAGTGAGGCCTCTGCAGCTGTCATTTCCGTCTCAGAATAGTGCCTGACTCTGGCTCCATGCACCATGGGATGGCTGATGTTATACACAGAGGCCTCCCCTGCAGACTGCATGAACTTTTGATAGGTAGCAAATTGGTCACTGCCTTTCCTTCCTCTGTGTAACTTTAATAACAGAGTTGTTAGTTCCTCAGCCATGGTAAGCCTGGGTCAGGAACCTGGCCACCGGTGACTGTGTCTCACTGTAAACAATGG